CCCAGCCAATCTCGACTGTACGTCTTTGAGTCATGTGAAACGTGCCAGTAGCCTCAGGAACAGCACAGCCCAGAGAGGCCATGGCCAGCTGCCTTTCAGCTGTTCTGGGCTAATTTGGGGTTTCAGTGCTGGGGTGGAGAGAGTGCCGGGAAATCCGAACAGGGGAGTTCCTGGGGCTTGAGGAAAGCCAGGCTGGAAAGGATGGAATGTAGACCTCTGCCTCCCACCCCTCCATGAATCATGGTGCCAGGTAGAAATGCAGAGCTGATTCTCCCAGGGGCAGAATTGCCCAGCAGGGGATATTGGCGTTTGGTGTGTGGCTGTTTCTGCTCATGTACCCCGCTTGGCACATAAGAGACTGCACTTGAAAACCACCCCTAGTCCTCAGCCTTGTGCCCAGCAGCCCCTTCCCCAAATGCTTTACCCCCTGTTTAATATTCTGCTGGTCTTTTCAGTCTCTCTCATCCTGAGTCTGGAAATCACTTGAGGGCAGGGACTGCCCTTAGATCCCAGCACCTACTCAGTGCATGGCATGGAGTGGAGGCAGAATGAAAGGATGGATGTCTGACCTCTTCCCCCTCCGAGAAATGCCATAAGCATGAGACCAGCAGCCCCCGGGGAGTCCGGGTGCACAGCACCTCCTCTTCATCCTCCCTTCCCAGCAAGGATGGGAGAGAGGAAGTTTGCAGTCCTGGCATACTCAGGGCTCGATCGTGGGGCTAGATGTGATTTTTATGGCAGGCAAGTGGGAGAGACATGATTAGAACTGGCTCTTCCATAGAAGACCCTGAGATCCTGCTCCTGCCCACAGTTACAGCAACCTTCCCTTTTGGATTTCTAGGTCACTGGTAGAATAAGTTTTTCCAAAATTGACTGTTAGAGTTCCTTTCTTGTCAAGTAATTCAATCCGAGGGCTCTGGGGTTTGATTTTTTTTTTTTTTTTTTTTTAGCTTTTGAGCAGTGTAGGGAAAATGGGCTGAGGATGATTTCTCTAATTGTTCTGGGATTGGGAGTCTCCAGACTTGGATTGTAAAGAATTGCTGTAGTTGGTCATAGCTCACAAGCATTAATACTAATATTAATAACAATTACTTGAAAAAACACTTTGCCAGTCACAACGCCCTTTTACACTATCTTTAATTTTTTTTTTCATTTTCTCAATAGCCTTATGATTACTGCCTCCATACTACAGATAAGGAAACTGAGGCTCAGGCAGTAGATGTAGTTCAGAGAGTGATTAGGTGGGAGGGGGATCCAGGCCCCAGGGCTTTGTGTGCAGATCCTGAGTTCCTGGGTTCTCCTCCCTGCCTCTCAGCCAGTGTTTCTGTGGGCCAGGGGCTCCCACTGTGAACAGCTTCCTTTCCTGAGGGACCCCGGAGAAGGGTCAGGCCCATGAGGACTTGTAGGTCCTCCTGTCTGCGCTGACTTCATTGTGGTTGCTTTGTGCGGAAATGGGGATGGAAGCCAGTCTCCCCGGTAGCTTGGGAGCGGCCATGGCCCTTCAGAGAAGCCCAGATGAAGGCATGGATCCTGGCCTTTGCACATTTGCACTAAGCAGTCATTGGGTGTGGCAGCTCCTTTTGGCCAAAGGCAATGCCCAGAGAGGAGCTCAGCTGTGAGCATTTGGCCGGCAGCTCTTGGGCAGCTGGAGGAATGGGTGCCCAGGGGGGACCACAGCATCCACAGCATCAAAAATGGGGAATGGGCAGTGCTTACTCTCAGTGGTGGACCACATTTGTTTTGGGAACAGGGAGGTTGCTCTCTGTCCCTCAAATGATAGCATTAGGCAAACTGCCTAACCACCTTCTATCTTGGCTTTGGGACAGACAGGATTCACTAACTGGAACCAACCTGGCCTGTGAGGATGCTAACCTGTTTTTAAAAGTAATCAGTCTTCATTAATGTGTGAACACAGGGTGACTTGCTGTGTGCCCTTGGGGAAGTGACTCTCCTTCTCTAAGTTTCACTTTCCTCATCTATAAAATGAGGGTAAGGCTACTTTGAAAACTGTACTCTTCTGGGCAGGCTCGAGCAGTGATTATGAGGGTCAACACTGTCACATCCTCACATGGAAAATGTGAAATGTAAGGACAATGTTTTCCATGCTTTGTTCTGTTCCAAGTCCTCTGTAATCCTGTGAAGCCTTTCTTGCCACCAGAAAGGGGAATGCTATGGCCTAAACAAGATAGAATAAGTGCAGAAAGCAGGTTGAAGTGGAATCCGTAGTCACTCACATGCTCAGTAACCATCAATGGCTCCCTATTGCCCATGCAGTCAAGTGGGCAGATTCTGCCTGGATTTAAGATCCTCCTGTCTAGTTCCAAACCATCTTTCCAACCTCTTCTCTTATGAAACTCCACTTTTCCCTTCTTGCTTCCTGGGAAGTCCCTGAATGATCTTGGCTGTTCTCAACCATGGGCCTTTATTCCTGCTGCCTCACCCCTTTGAAATATGCTCCATAGTCCCTGTTTTGTGTTCCTAAATAGATCTCCCTGTGATGGTAGAGCTTTGAAGTGCTGTTCCTGGAAACTTAACGACTTGGGATGACTAGGATATTGACAAATTAAGAACAGCCAAATGTGCCCTTAGTGTTGGTGACTTGACATGAGCAGGTTCAGCTTAGAGAGGGCCCTTCATCCCCTGAGGACCCACTCGAGGTCACTCATGTCTGTGGCCACCAGGTGGGATCAGAGTTGCTGGTTAGACTTCTCCCACCCACACCGGCCTCTTGGAGGCAAAAGGATTGGTGGCTACTTAGGAATTCATTAACTCTTTTCTTCTTTGTTGTTGATGTTTCTGTAGTTTTTTTAAAAAAAAAGTAGGATAAAAAATTGGAAAGATCCAAAGAGTAAAGAGTGAGACCAATGGCTTACATGAACAGGTAAGATTGTGCCAAATAACTGTGTCCAACTAGGCAAAACACGGTGTCTTTCTATTAACCTCATTCCTGATGTTTCCTTCTATCTCATTGCAAAGCTTTATACACCTATGTCCTTCCCTTTGTGGTTGGTAGTTTGTAAATGTTGACTTTTGCATGTTGCATGTTGATTTTTGCCTCTTTCATTATTTCTAAGACATTCTGTTTTTAGTCTTGTGGGTGAATTTTAATATTGTTGGTGAAATATTGCATCAGAGTTTCTAACTTAAATTCATCTTCTTATCCATCCAAATCAAAGCAAATTTCTTAACAAAATATTTTTTGTTAAAAGCAATGAATTTAGTAATATTGGTCATTTTTCTTTCACTTTTCCTCTTTTCTATTCTTTATTATTCTAGTACTAAGAGTTAAATTTGCATTCTTTGCTTTCTAAAAACTCTCTTTTGCAAGAATTTTGTTTTCTGTCTGTCGTAGCTTACTTTTGTTCCAACAGGTGCCCCAATTAATTAGACCAGTGGTTCTTAACCTTGAGGGTGCATTAGAATTACAACATTCCTGAGCCCTACCTCCAGAGGGTAGTTCTGGGGTGGGGCCTGAGAATGTGCATTTCCAGCAAGTTCCCATGTGATGTGTCGCTCTGGGTGGGGGAGCCCACTTTGAGAGCCACTCATGTAGACTTACCAACAACCAACCACTTTTCTTTCCTTGGTGCTTGAAGACTTTGCTGATAAACATCTCCGTTCTCTTCATCAGCAGCCACATCTAGACTTTGCACCTCTCTAGCATCCCCAGTGAAGAGTCCTTCCCTGGATTTAGCTCTTGAACTCTAGAGTTATTTGTCGAAAAATTTTGCAGAGCAGACAGAAAGAAGACTAGTGGATTTTCCGCACCTTCTTGCAGTTGCCTTCACACACAAGGAGGCGGCTGAACAGAATTCCTAGCTGTTTTCCTTGTAGGTTTCTGGAGATGTTGCCTGGCCTTGTCTGTCATCAGGAGATGTCTGATTGTTCAGATTTAAGGCCATTGAAAGAAGCCAGATTTTTATCCCTGTGCTCGGAAGTACCTAGAATTAGGAATTTTTTCTTCCTCCTTGAAGTTTCGGTTTGTGACAGGCAATGTTTTGAAGCTGATTTCTGATCATTCATTTCGACTGCAACTCTATGAGTCCTCAGTATAATAGCCTTTACAGAGTGCTTCAGATAATTTTCATGTCACTTTCTTTTTCCTGCATGAGTCTTATTGTCATGCTGAAGTAGTGCTCTTAGGCATAGCTTCATGGAGATGCTTTGATCATCTCCACAGTTGATCAGCCGTGAAGATGTCATACACTTTCTTGCTGCCACGCCTTTGCTGGTGCCATTCCTTCTGCCTGGAGCACATTTCTTCCCTGCTCTGCCCGGAAAAACCATAGGCATCTTCGGGAATCAGCTCACATGCCCCGTTTGTGGGGCCGGCTATGACTCTCACAGCGGCACCCGTTTCCTGTGCCTACCTAACTCACAAGATGTCCACATCATGGTGTTTCTCATTTTATTTGATTGATTTGTCCGGCAGATGGTCATGATAGCAGCCATCATTTATTGGGCACTCACTGTGTATCAGGCACTCTTTAATCCTAGCAGCAGTCCTCAGAGGTTTGGGCACTGTCCTTATGCCCAATTAAAGATTAGGAAACCGAAGCTTCTAAGGGACTTCAAGTAACTAGGCGCTGGTGAGGCTAGCATGAAAACTGGGTGTTGCAGCTTCTGGGTGCTGTGCTTGTAGACGCTGGAAGTTGTAGGCACTCAACACTGGTTGGGTGAGCGATGCATGAAAAGGTGGCTGTGATAGATAGAGGGAGGTAGGCAGTGGGAAAGCTGCTGGTGAGAGAAAGGCAGGGACAGTTCCAAGCCTGGGCTGAGCCTGGTGGGGAGGGTTTGGAGGATAGCCTGAGAGCATGTCCAGCACAAGGAGGAAGAAGGAAGACAAACTTTGCTTCTTTAGTACCTCATCTTGTGATTCGGGATGTAGTACTTGGACAAGCCTGTCACTCAGGAAATGGTGTTTAAGTCAGATAGGTCTGGAAGTGTCTCCAGTGTTAATTAATGCCCTGTTCTCCTTTCTCCTGCCCCTGCCCCCTCAGCCTCGGCCTTCATCATCGTCATGCTCCTGGCCAGCCTCAACAGCTGCTGCAACCCCTGGATCTACATGCTGTTCACGGGTCACCTCTTCCACGAACTCGTGCAGCGCTTCCTGTGCTGCTCCGCCAGCTACCTAAAGGGCAACCGCCTAGGAGAGACAAGTACCAGCAAAAAGAGCAACTCGTCTTCCTTTGTCCTGAGCCATCGCAGCTCCAGCCAGAGGAGCTGCTCCCAACCATCCACGGCGTGACCTACCAGCCAGGGCCAGGGCTGCCTCCTGAGGTTCGGGCTGTGCTGGCATAAGTGGTCTGCCCCTAGGTGATGGCGTATGTTTGTGTGTAAGGTATACCTATCAGTTTGTATCCCTCCACTCCTTGGGGTGGCTTCAGTGGGGTAGAGAGTGGTCTCCATGATGGGAGATGATAGGGGACTCAGCCATCAGGCAACCCCCTCACCTCCTACACGTACTTCTGCCACCCTGAACCCACTGCTACCCTGGGCAGTGGGTGGCTTATTTTTTCTCCTGGACTTGCAATTTCACGCCAATATTTTTTACTTCTTTATTCTGGGCTATTGTGAAAAGCAGGAAATATAGGATTGGTGACCAATTGAGTCAGGAAGTCCAGTGTTCTGGACTTGGGGTAAGGAGTGGGGTTGGGACTTCAGATGGGGAGGGTGGTGTTAAGATCCTCCTGACCTCAAAGTGTATTTGCCTTTAAGCGAAAAAATGCTGGGGTCCTTGGGGACCAACTTGTCAGAGGGTAGCACTAGAAGGGGATTACCTTGTAAGACCATCTGGCACAGCGGACCAATTAGAACTTGGGTTAAAAATGTTTAAGAAGCTAATGTTTAAGAAGCGTTTGGGAAAGAAAAAGAAATAAATGCATCCAGATTGGAAAAGAAGAAGTAAAACTATTTGCAGATGACACCGTTTTGTATATAGAAAATCCTAGGAATTCACACACACACACACACACACACACACACACACACAAACACACAGCTTATTAGAACTAATAAGCAAGTTCCTCACGGTTTCAAGATACAAGATCAATATACAAAAATGAATTGTATTTCTTTATACTAGCGACAAACAATATGAAAACAAAGTTAAATAATTCCATTTATAATAGCATCAGAAAGAATAAAATAGGAATCAACTTAACAAAACAAGTGCAAGACTGAAAACTACAAAATTTGGAAGAAATTAAAGGAGGCTTAAATAAATGGAAAGACATGCTGTGTTCACGGATCAGACTTAGTATTGTTAAGATGGCAATATTATCCTAATTGACATACAGATTCAGTACAATCCTTATGAAAATCATAGCTGGCTTCTTTGCAGAAATTGATAAGCTAGTCCCAAAATTCAAAAAGAAATGCAAGGGACCCAGAATAGCCAAATAAGCCTTGAAAAAGAACAAAGTTGGTGGAATCACACTTTCTGATTTCGTAATTTATGATAAAGGCACAGTAATCAGCTCAGTGTGTTACTGGTTTAAGGATAGATATACAGAGTAGAATAAAGAGTACAGATATGAACACTTATGCTTATGGTCAATTGATTTTTGACAAGATTCCCAAGACAATTCAATAGAAAAAGAAGAGTCTTTTCAACAAATGGCACTGAGACAATGATATGCATGTGCCAAAGAATGAGGTTGGACCTTTACTCACACCATGTGCAAAAATCAACTCAAAATGCATCCAAGATCTAAATATAAGAACTGAAACTAGACAATCTTAGAAAGAAACATAGACTTAGATCTTTGTAACCTTGAATTAGGCAGTGGTTTCTTACATATGACACCAAAGACACAAGCAACCAATGGAAAAATAGGTAAATTGGACTTAATCAAGATTTGAAGCTTTTGTGATTCAAAAGGCCCTATCAAGAAAGTGAAAAGATAACCTGCAGAATGGTAGAAAATATTTGCAAGTCATATATATGATAAGGGACTTGTATCTGGAATATAGAAATAACTCTTATAACACAACAATGAGAAAAATAAATCAATTTTAAAAATGGGCTAATGATTTAAATAGACATTTCTCCAAAAAGATATGCAAATGGCTAATAAGCACATGAAAAAATACTCAACATTATTATTCATTAGGGATATGCAAGTCAAAACCACAATGAGATTCCAGTTTACAATCACTAGGATGCCTACAATAAAAAGATGGACAACAACAAGTGTTGGTGAGGATGTAGAGAAACTGGTAGAAATTTAAATTGTTGGTGGGAACATAAATGGTGCACCTGCTTTGGAAAACAATTTGGCAGTACCTCACAAAATTAAACATAGAGTGACCATATGACCCAGAAATGCCACTCCCAGGTATTTGCCCGAGAGAAATGAAAACACACATACACACAAAAACTTGTACACCAATGTTCATAGCAACATTATCTGTAATAGCCAAAAACTGGAAACAACCCAAATGTCTATCAGCTGATGAATGGGAAATAAAATGTGGTCTATCCATACAATGGAACATTATTAAACTCTAAAAAGAAATGAAGTACTGACACATGCCACAACGTGGATGAACCTTGAAAACATTATGCTAGGTGAAAGAAGCCAGTTGCAAAAGACCACATGTTGTCTGATTGCATTGAAATGCAATGTCTAAAATGGACAAATTTTTATGGACGAATATTTATATAGAGAGAATATAGATTAGTGTTTGCCAGGGCCTGGAGGCTGTGGGAGATGAGGTGTGACTACTAAGGGTTTGGGGTTTCTTTTTTGGGTGATGAAAACGTTCTGAAATTAGTGGTGATGGTGCACGATTTTGAAAATATACTAAAAGCCAATGAACTTTAAAAAAATAAAAATAAACAAAAAAATGTTCAGCAGATGAATTCAGAGAAGGCCAGCTTGACAGATGAATTCCTTGGAATCTCTTGCCTCTCGAGCTTTCGTTTCTCTATGTGGCTCACAGCTTGAGAGGGATCTCGTGGTTTTCTCACTTGATTTTGCTGCAAGAGATGATGTCTCTATTTGGCAAAAAGTAACAGCAATGATAATATCCCTACTTTGTAAAGGCACAAGTGATGCCTTGTAGCTACAGGTTGTTATGTTTTATATAAAATAGAAATTCACTAGGGGTGTCAGAGGTTTTTCTTACTTAGTGAACATGTTCTCAAATGTCCTCTCAGCCTTGAGGTTAGGACATGAACACGTCTAAGAAATACTTTGTCACTAAATACAGGACACTATTGATCAGAGGTTTACTGTCAGGGACTGGCCAGCTCAGTGCATGGTGGGGCGCCTTTTAAGTTTCCAGACACATTGTTGTACTTACTGGGATACAGCGGGAGCACTCTCAAAGGCCACAGATCCATTCTCTCTCTTTATAACACACTTTCTTCTTCCTCCATGCTGCAGTAGCCACATAGCCACACACATGCGCATACACACACAATAGAATGAGCTAGCATTGTCTAGATGTTCTGGGAGAAGAGAGGCATGCACTGAAATGCCCATGTTCAAAGTCTAAGGATTTAGCACAAGGTCTTCAGTATTACCTGGAGATTGAAGATAGTATCATCTTTGAACTGCAAGGCACTGCTCAGTGTTGCTGGGACATGCATGAAGAGCGTCAGCACCAGCCAGTCCTTGCTCTTTGGGAAGCTAACAGGATGCTGTTCTGGGGCCTCTGTGCCCATGTACTGGAACACTCGTGTGCTCTGGGTGCCAATGCAGCAGTAGTGGTGTCTGTTAGCATCCATGCCTCTTTGCCCACCAGCCAGAGATACCCGAGGTCTCTGCTGGTCCCAGGGAAGTTGCCATCCTAGGAGCCAACAGGGCCACTAGGTATAGACAGCAACTCACAGTAGATTTTCTGACCAGGAGCACAGCCTTCCTAGAAACCCTGGAGTTATGAGATTATAGGACATCAGAACCAAGTGGGATGCTTTGTCATTCTCTTCATGTGAAAGCTCTGGTGGGTACGCTGGGTCTCATTATGCACAGGAGTCTCTTTTATGGCAAATAAGTGACATTCAATTTCAATAGTCCCATTGGATCTCCTTGAGAGCATTTTCACCATTTCTTAGTCTTTCCCCAAATAAACCCTAGAAAAATGAGCACAGGGGTTCTGAACGCTACCTCAGGCTCAGTTGTTTTTGGCCTCCTCCCCAGACCTCATGCCTGAGGTCTCCCAACCACCTTTCCCTACAGTTTCAGACTTGTTTACAACCATATGCATGGCTGGGGTTGCCAGGAAGTGGGAGCTGCAGATTGTCTTCTGCAGTGTTTCATGGCTCTGATCATCAAAAGTGAATGTGGAAACTCTGAGTCTTATTTCTTTAGGCGCTGAAAAAATATCTGACACATACTTTGGTCCCCTTTTGGGTTGGGTCTATGTTTTGCCACTTCAGGAAATGTAAAGGGACAATGCAGGCTGTCTTTTTTTTTTTTTTTTTTTTTTTTTTGAGACGGAGTCTTGCTCTGTGCCCCAGGCTGGAGTGCAGTGGCGCGATCTCGGCTCACTGCAAGCTCCACCTCCCCGGGTTCACGCCATTCTCCTGCCTCAGCCTCCCGAGTAGCTGGGACTACAGGCGCCCACCACCTCGCCCGGCTAATTTTCTTGTATTTTTAGTAGAGATGGGGTTTCACCATGTTAGCCAGGATGGTCTCGATTTCCTGACCTCGTGATCCGCCCGTCGCGGCCTCCCAAAGTGCTGGGATTACAGGCTTGAGCCACCGCGCCCGGCCCTCAGGCTGTCTTTTAAGAAAATCCTGGTTTCAAAGTGTTTAACCCTTTTTGTATTCAATAGCAATGAAACGCCACTTAAGGCAAAATGTGAACACCTTGATTTTGTTCTACTGTGGTGACCTGCTCTGGCACTCCTCTGTAACTGTGCCAGTTGGTGAATGGCATGGCTGATCATAAGGTGTCTGCTTCATTAGCTGCTTGATAGAGACTGCACTTAATAAACATTTGTTTCCATACATTGCTTTGTCCCCGTTCTTCCTCCCAAGAACGGTAACTGGAACACGTGGCTTGTAGAACCCAGATCCCTGCAGGACTTCAGAGCTATTGGCCTGATTATGGCACAGGTGCATGGACTGTGGCAGGGTGTGGAAGGGGACCCTGGTCCCATTCTCTGGAATCACAGGTGCACTCACTTGTCAGAGTTCTATGGGAAGATGCCCTAAGATTCAGGAACAAACATTTGTATGTTGTCCCCGAACCTACTCTGAACCACAGTTGAACTCTGGGGATAATAGGATTCTAGACTGTTACCTTGAAGGAACACTAACACAAGTTTCTTAAAAGTGAATTTGGGAGCCATCTGCAGCATCACAAATGAGTTTGTGTTAAAATGCAGATTCCTGGGCCCCACTACTGAATCAAACTCTGGAGCTAGAGCTTTGGAACCTGCATTTTAAACAGGAGTCCCTGGTGGTCCCTATGCATCTTATGAGAGGGAATTCCATCCTCCTGCCTCAGGCCCGTTCTCATCATACCCTCAATGTGATTTTCTGCCTGCTACTTCTCAAGAGGATTCCTGCAGGGAGAAGAACTCCTTGGACACCCATGCATCTCAGATGTGTGTCCTGCCTCCAGTTCTGTGAACTTTGTGGGTAATTAAGCACCGACCATAGTCTGCCCTTAGAGAAAGAGAGTGAGCTTGAAAAATTGGAGTCATCGTCAAATCCAGTTATAACAAATACCAAGATGGCAAATTCTCTACATAACCCAAGATTCCAAGGCTGAAACGGATGGCCTCATGATTTCAAGACACATTTGAAAGGGCAGGCCCTTTGAGGAAGACATAAGTAACATCAGCCTTAATCCTTTTCAGCGGGGGGAGCCTAGGCCTGCTGAGCCCCCGACAATGTGGAAGAGCCCCAAGGGAGAGCAGAGGCGGCAGGCTGGAGCCATAGTGATAATGC